TTTAAATTCTGTGTACATGCTTTGTGTTTACAACACATGCCCTTTGAATCAAAGAGAACCTTCAAGCATTCTGGCTTGGTATCTCTGGTATTTCTTTTAATGGTTTTGTAGAACAAGTGCATTTTTCACATACATTTTATAGGGCAATAAGCGAGTAATTATCTTAGTAATAATTTTTGAAGGTCTATTCTTCAATGCAAAATACCCTAAAAATAACAGCTAACACTCCAATATCAATAGCTAATCCAACCCTGAGCTTCCGAACATGCTAATAAATACATTGATAGCAGGAACTGGAACGTGCAGGAATAAAAGGAAATGGATCTCTGGGGCTGAAGATGGAAAGAGCAGGCATAAAAGACAAAACAAAATCTGTGGAAGGATGTGCTAAGCTTTCACCACAAAAACAAGAACCTCCATGAGAACAAAATTTTGGATTTTTACCATAAACTTTTGATTTTGTAACATGTGTGTACCTTAAGGCTTAAACATGTCACTTGCTCCATATTTCTAAATTACTCTTGCTTTACTGAAAACAAAGCTACAAGGCCCAACTCTCCTAGGAGCATAGGTTCTCTGTTCCTAGGAACTTCACTGACTTGGGAAGTTTATGTCTAAATGCCTTTAAATGTCTGAGACTGTTTCCATCCCTTACAAATGTTAACAAAAGTGAAATAGTATAACAAAGAACAAGTGGAGGATTCAAAACCAATGATATCAAGAAGGTTTCAGGTTAACCAGTTACAGGAATGAATTTAAAGAGATGATTTTTCTCAAAAGATGATTTATAGCTGAGCACATTGAGAAGATAGTTTACACCTGGCAGAGCTAAAGAGCTTTTTTCCTAATAAGAAATTAAGTAAGAAGCATGGGGATGATTTATGTAATCCTCATGCTCAGAGTTGGCATCCTGGAAAAAGAAAATCAGATAAAATATAATGATGACAAAGGCTGGCAGAAAGATGGGCAGCGGTGAAAAAAAAATCAATATTAATATCAGCAAAAAAAATGTGTTAAATGAATAAGAGAGCTGGGCTTAATCCAGTTCGGGAACAGAGAGTTGACCAGAAACAAGGGATACACTTGGCAACACAAGGGTTATACAAGGTAATGTTGGCCACGGAGTGAGCGACGGTGGGGCAGACTTGGTCAGATGCTGCAGATGCTGTAAGGGCCAGGGCAAAGTGAGGGGCTGGGATCACTCCTGCAACAGTATTTCTACAAGCATGAGCTGTTCAGGAGAGATCAAAGTGTGGGATTAATTCAAGGATCAGGTTTTTTACTTCAGGCTCACAGATCCAACACATTTCCCTCCTTAGTGTGTAAGGCTTCAGAGCAGAGCAGGCTGCTCCACAGGGAGGAGTGAGTGCTCCTGCTGTTGGAGCAGCCCCGGTTAGCTGGGCACCACCCTCCCTGGCCAGGTGTGCTGGGACACTGCTGAAGGCAGGTCCCTCTGGAGCTGGGAGAGGAGAACTTTTGTGACCCCTCCTGCGGGGGTGACCCTGGCTCTACTGCTGCTCTCCTCACCCCACGGTGCTGTCACAGGAACAGGGTTGCTACAGAACAGGCTGGCTGGCCAGGGACTGCCAGGATGTTCACCATCACAACTTAGAGCAGCCTCACAGCTCTGCTTGCATCGACACCATTCTTTGGGAGCATTTCTCCTTCTGCTGTCTTCCTGCCTGCCCCATCATAGAGTTCAGGATGTTGATTTTCACCTCCAAATTCCGTTCAAGCTGTTCCCAGCACTCTGTGAGTTACATGGCTGCCAATAGATGACTGCTGTACATCAGCAAGCGCCAGTGAAGGGGCGCTGGCTCCTCAGGAATCACGCTCTGCACAGTCTGCCAGTAGGTCTTTTCTCACTCTCTGCTTAAACGTGTCTTTGTCTTCTTGTGAGCAGCCCCAGCTCTGATTTTCATTCATACTCCTGTGCCACCCGTCATCCTCCTCATAACACCACCCCAATGGTGCTCAAGAACTCACCTCCAGGCAGCTATCCCCTGCTCAGCTCAGCTGTTTGGTGCCCGAAATAATAAAGGACATGACCCACTGAAAGTAGTGGAAATACTTCCTTTGACTTCAGTGGGCTTTAGAATAAGGCTGCGATAATGCTGATGGAGAGGGTCCCCAGCAACCCAAATAAAGCCAGGGACAGTGCTCCCATCAGCTGAAGCGAGAAGCAGAGTGCACCTCAAGAGGTCGTCTGCTCTTCTCTTGTTTGCTGTGTAACCTTCACACCTGCTGCTTACGACCTGCTGTGCCACTTTTGAGGGCCAGATCCAGCCTGTCCCCTGAGGTGCATGTTTCCTGTGCTGTGTGGCACTGCATGGAGCAGAAGGAAGGCTTGGTGGCAGGAGTTGTTTCCCTGGGAAAAATGTGCCTTCTCATTAGCTCTGTAATTTAGACAATTGATCCTAAATGTGGAAACCATGGGTTTTTTACTGGATACAGTATGTGAATGCACAGCATCCATGACAGTGGCATCTAGTCTAATTTACAAATATTGTAAATACTGTAAGTGCCATTTATATTAATCAAAGAATGAGCTTTTGTTTCACAGTACAATGTTCAGAATATTTGGCAGACCTGCGGATTGGATGATTTATTTTGACTTTCAAAATCAAACTGCCACCTTGTGGTACAGTAAGGGAGAAGCTTGCAGGAAATTGTACAGAAAACAAAAATACAGATGTATAGTAAAAACTGGTCCCTTTTGTTCCTCCCATGTCTTACAGTATTTCTGTATTCTTAAATATGTTTTGACTATACTTCAGGCAAATTAATAAAAAATATTTATGTCATTTTTTAAAAATACTATCAAACTTTTTGGGATTGTTTGTCAATTCAAAACATAGAAACATTTCCTTATTTTTGTGTGTAATTGCACTAAAACCACACATATTAATAGATCTTTTTCAATATTAGACCCAAACACTGCTTACAGGAAAACATTAACTACTAAGGCCGCGTAGGTATCTATATAGGCAATAAACATATCTATAATTGCTTCATTTCTCTCTTTTAAACTTAATGATAAGATAATTTTCTGTGAGAGTCAGAGCAGGGCCATACAAATTGCTGAAGGTGAGCAAATTGTAATCTGGTCTGAAGTGCTAATCCTTCCTTGCATGCTCTTGGACCATGACAAATGTAAGGTAATTTTAATCAGCTTTCTCTTTCATTGCGGGCCAAGCTAGCACAAATTACTTCACCTTGCTTGTCAACCAAGAGCAAGCACGATGGATCGGCAGATGTGCAGAAATCTGTTACAGTAACGTGCTTGTGCATATCAGCCTTTGAGCAGCAGAGAGGCACAGAGATGTCCCAGCACAAGTCTCTCAGCCAGATTGAACATCCTCATGTCATATAATACCATTTATGAAAGATGATAGATAAAAAGCTAATCAACTCCAAATTGAAAGTGTAGATGAAGTGGACAATTGATTGCAGCCACATATCAGTGCTTTGTGCATCCACAACTTTCCAGGAATATAGTGGTTTAAAAATAAAACTGCAGGTAACAAGAAACCTGTAAGAACTGCAATTCACATCCTGTTCCTCTCCTCATACTAGAGAAGCATCAACACTTTTTTAAAGCCTGAAGTCATCCACTACTGAAAGGAACAAAGTAAGTGGGAGGGGACGTAAAGGTATGAAGAGCCTAATGCTGACTCAGCTCTTAAGCTTAAAAGACACAAATGAGCTGCCTGGGACATATAGCACCAGGGCAAGCCATTTTCCTTCGCCTTGTGTCTATTACAACATACATTACCTGGGGGAATTAGTTTTTTTAAAGCATTTTTCATTCAAAACACATAGGTTTTGTAAGAAGGAACTTACAAATATGAACTGCTGTCTGGTACCACCTTTGCTGAGCACAGGCTGGAGGAGAGAGTTGGTGAGCAGTCCCCTGGACAGGGGTCCTGTAGGTGCTGATGGGGCTGCTGGAGGAATCTGACCTGTGGAAACCCTTCAAGCAGAGAGGCTACTCTGACTTCCACTATCACCTGGTTCACGTTTGCCCATCAGCCCACTTGGCAGCCAAACTCACAGGAAGGAGAAAGATGAAGATTTATTTATAATGGCAGTTGTGGTGGTGTCTGCTTTGCTTTGTGGTGGGCAATTTAAATCAAGGGTAAATGATGTCCTTCTAGCTATGATCTCATTCAGCAGCCCAAGTGGGTGCAGGTGTGAGCCACTTCTAAGCGATGCATGGCAGCAGCACATGCTAGCTTCATGTGGGTTCTTATCCTCTAACTGCTGTCAGTACAGGGATGGGGCTGGGAAAGACCTCAGGAAAAAGCAGGGAGGGGTCAGTGTTTAGTGGGTGATGGGCTTATGAGAGAGAAATTCTGAAAGGTGAGCAGGGGAAGAAGAAGAACCTATGGACCCACTCAGCCTCCTGTGCTTGTAGATGAGTTAATTCACACACAAACTGCCTATGGTGTATGAGATCCCCCACCCCCTAACATGGCTGTACAGCCTTGCAGCCCCTTTGTCCCAGCATTTCTCCTTCCAAGGAGCATTGCTTGCTGCCCCTGAACTCAGCACCAGCAAGCAGAATGTTGTCCTGGAGAAGAGTGGGTTACCTCTCACATGAAGAGTGCCCTGGAGATTTTTTAGATTTTTTTTTTTTCCCTGAATTGCGCTAGTTAAAAAGCATCTGTGGGCAGAGCACCTCATCCCATTGCAGCCAATAAATCAGCCATGGCAAGTATGAAAGAAGTGTGGGTGCTTCTCCAGCTGAGAAACAACACCCAGGACTAGTTCCTTTAATACAAGCGTATGGGCAGCACCAGAAGGTAATCAGTGGTTAATGAAGTTTAATGTGTATGAAGCCCATGGAGGTAAATCTTATTTTGTTTTAATTGCTAGTGTGTCTGTCCTCGCTTTCATCAAAAGAGCGTGGTGATATCTAAGAGCGGCATTTCGATGCCTGAAATGCTCCTCATATAAATAGAACAAGCAGATCAGCATGACTGAGTGATAAAATTACCTTCTGGTCTTCAGAAACTTCAGCATGCAACTGTGCTATAGGGACCTCAGTGTGCCACTCTTTACAGCACAAACAGATACTTTTGGAAATGGATTTGGAGGAGACATACAAAGAGGGAGAGAACACAGAGGGGAAAATTACACGAGCTGCAGCTGCAAAGTTGGTGAAAAAAGCTTTTCTTGAAGCCCTGAAGTCCAATAACTTTGAAAAGCTGGAAGAGCTCTTGAGCCAAAAGAAAATAGACGTGGACACAGTGTTTGAAGTGGAAGATGAAAACCTGATTCTGGCATCCTACAAACAAGGTAAATGTGGCAGCATCACCAGACAGGAAGTAGAGGGTTTTGAGTGATTTTCAAGGAACTGTGGCCGTTTATCCCTTCGGAAGCTGCAGCATAAGCTGACCCACAGGCAGTTCTGTTCTTGCAGGCTCACATGGTCAGGGCCACTGTAGTAGGGGAGCTTATCAGCTGTGTGGGCTTGGTGAAGGACAGGCAGATCCCAGCCTGAGCCTCTGTGCTGCAGCTGCAGGAGGCTCCAGAAACAGGAGTCATTTGCCATTTCCACTCAGAGAACTGTAAAGCCCAGAATAGACACATGCAGGTGTATAAATGGGGTGTATACATTTCTTGCATGAACCCATTCACATGTACAGACTATCTAGAAACATGAAATATTTGGTCTTCCATTTTTAAAGGAAGTAAAGTGGATTCTCCCTAGCTGAGGAGAACTATGGAAATCCTATGAACCTTGGATGTTGCTGGATGGGAGAAGGTTTATTTTTCCAAATGACAGAAAGTGAGGATGTGGTAGTTTATCAAAACAGAAAAATAATCTGGAAAAAAATAACCAGAATAATCAACACAACATCTCTTTTGGACTGTAGAAAACCCAAACCATTTCCCAGCCAGACACTCAAATAACTTCCAAAACCTTACCATTTAAAGCAATAAACCAAGTTTGCTCTTTGCTAAAATCAACATGATTCATGACCTACTTGCTAACAGACATGTCCTGTGTATTTAGAAAGCAGTAACGATCAGTCCCTGCCAGAAGTTAATCATATGTGGAGATAAACACTTCCAGTAGCAGCAGCACAGCAAATGCACTTTCTCTTCTGTGGCAAAAAGAAAGGACTATCTCACCTCTTTTCTTTTTCTGTGTTTACTCCTTATTTAATAATTAGTTCTTGCTCTTTTGATTTTTTAAGAGCAAGAATGGTGCAGTCATGATGTACTTCCCTTGGGGACAGTGTATGAACTAAGCCACACTGTGCTGAATTTATCTTAAAATACATCTTCTGTCCACAGCAGGCCAAAACACAATCTAGTTGTGGTTTGAGACAACAGGATTAATGAATAGATTTTTAATCACTGATCATTTGATTAAAATCATTAACTAGTCTCTTTTGAAGAATTCTCTTTGTTTTCCAAGAAGTAGAGAGGAAAATGTACTTTTTATGGCCTAAATCTTATGGCTTATTGAATACAATTTTGTATTCACTTTGTCTGAAAGGCAGGAAGCACCTCAATCAATTCTTATGTTAATTTTACTTTTGTTCTGAATGATAGATAACTGTGATATGAAAGGGGGATTTCCTTGAGGATGAAGAGGGGAGAAAAATTCACTACGCCACCATTCTGACAGTCTGAGCTTTGCCAAGCCCTTTGTGATGAAGTGGAAAAGAGATGTCATGGGTGACAGGGTGACTTTTCTTCTTCTCTTTCAAAGAGGCTGAGAACTTTCAAAGATGCTGATTTTTCTTGTACCTTTATGTTCTTTATGGCTCCTTTATGATACTAGCCAAAGAAACAGGTAAGCTGAATGAGGTCTCCCATGGAGCCCACATCTGCTTCCTGCTCAGGGTCTGTCCCCATCCCTCTGAGCTCAGAGATCTTGGCAGGTTTGGGCAGAGGACATGGGAGATGCTCCCTGGGAATGTCTGAGTCCAACTCACCTGCAAGTAGCACAGGCAACAGAAATATATTGTGTGCTCAGGCAGGAAAATTATGGCTATAAAAAGTGATAACTTGGCTTTTAAGTATAACTTTCCTGCTGTTAGTGTATAATTTATGGCTAATATCTGGCCATAAATGGAAGACCCAGCCCCATGTGGGATAAGCCTGAAGTGCATCACAGTTCACTGGTAACAAGGGGGAACACTGCACGTGCAGTTGGATGGGGAGGGGATTTAAGAAGCTTGCTCTGCTATTTGCAGAGACTTTGGGATATAGCCCACCTTCTCTATGCCTGCTTTAGGGGATATGATGAGGAGGTTGCCCTAACAGAGCTGCCAGTGTAACCTGCACAGTCAGCAGGTTGAGTGTCCTCAGAGGAGGCTGTCACCCTGCTCGGGCACTCGGGGCCTCAGGGCTGCTGCTCCTGCCATTTACAGTGTGGGTTCCTTGAGGACTGGGTTTGTAGCCCCAAAAATTTGGTCCTGGAGTAGATTACATGGTCTGCAGCTTCTTGCCCCTATCTGAAAATATACTTGTAATTTATCTAGGAGTGAAGAAAATTTTTAATTGATTTCTCCTTGCTACCAGCAGTTTGTTTCCTTCCTGCTTGTTCCTCATGAATACTGTAAAAAAATGTATATATATGACATTAATGTTGAGAAACTGCATAAAATCAGAGACTAAAATGGGAGATTTTAATTCATCTGATCTCACTATACATGTCTAATATTTTCTTTCTGTGTTTTTTACATGATAATAGATTTCAGCCAGGCAGTTGTCCAAGGAGAAATCGATAAATCAAACTCAGAGAATTTTATAGTAACATTCTAGCTAAGATGCAGGTTTTGTATATATATTAAAAAAAGATTTAGACCTCTCTTGCCCTTCTGCACATTATTATGATGCTTTACTTTTCTAAACAGTGATTATAGTAATCACTTCTGAGACTGTACCTGTGCAGTCATTAAGCATATAGCCCTACTCTGCAAACAAGTATTTATGTGTTATTTGGCCTTACACCTGTTTGTAAATAAAAAAGGAAAAAAATGATTGTGACATTTTCTGAGAAAAATGCAAACATTTTGCAGCCAAATTTCATGCTAAAGTGTCACTGCTTCTGTTTATCTCTTCAGCATAATTTACATCAGCATCCAATCTCCTCACTCTCCTTAGGGCAGTAGCTGGGGTATGCTGCCAGGGTCATCTATGTGTAATCCATCCCTGGAGGTCTGAATCCAGCCGCCGGCATGCAAGATCTGCCATCTCCCATGCACAAACAGTAGGATGAGCTGTCTGTTGAGTCACTGTCCTAAGTAAATGCTGTAGTTTTATTCCAATGCCACCTTTGTTCAGCTATTGGCAGGCTAGAGATCCCACTTCCTCCACATTCCCCCACGTAGAGAAAAAAAGCTTCTCTAAGTTTTTTTTTTTGTCATTTTGTTTGACCTATACCAGTCACAAAAAAGTCTAATAGCTTATTTCAGAGTACAACTACATGGGAATTGTCTCTCCAAAAGGCAGGATATTGAGCACACATAGTAACAGTGCTTAATGAAAATGAAGTTGCACTTGAGAGAACTTTGTGTGCACTATGCTGGTGAAATTACAGTAAATTACATTTAAACTCCAACCCTTTCTTCCCCTTCAATTATTCTCAGTAGGTGGATAGTCCTAAGAAAAGTCTTTGCCAAGGTTGGTAACACATTCTCACCTTGTACAGGGTACTGGCTTCCCAGCTACAAATTAAAAATATCCTGGGCAACTGGACTTCATCTAGCTGTCATGTATGGGCATCTGGAGAGTCTTTTGGTCCTCCTCAATCACAAGGCTACAATCAACTGCCGGCCCAATGGTAAAGCTGCAATCCACATAGCCTGTGAAATGGCAAATGTTGAGTGTCTCAAGATCCTTTGCAACCACGGAGCTAAGCTGAACTGCTTTTCAATGAGCGGGCAGGCGCCCTTGCACTTCTGTACCACACGAACCTCCATGCCTTGTGCCCAGCAGCTGCTCTGGAGAGGTAAGGTGAAGCTCTGGAGCATCTCTCATGGCATGGGCAAAGATGGTGGGCATGGTCTGGGATTCCTCTTAGGAGGCAATTTCTCAATGTAGATGTGTATTTATCCCTTCCATCCACAGGTGGCTCATGTCTTCATCTCAGGCTCGTTGTCCTCATCTCTTTGATCAGAGGAAGATTCTCCCATTCTGTTTCCTCACCACATCCATCTTTCCCTTTCCCTAGCCACTGGAAACACTCCAAGATTGTTTCCCATTTCAGTACCTCCTGTCCACTGCCCAATCAGCCCATCAGCAGCAGAGCTCCTCTGAATCAGGGAGTTCTGTTTCTCTTGGGGGATTTTTCCATCTTTTTCATCTAGGTTTACTATTTTCACATGAAAGGGCACCCCTCATCTTCTTTCTTTTCCACATTTCCTGGACCTGAGTAAAGTTTTTCCAACCACTTGTTTTTTGAGATCTGGCCTTGAAAATTTGGATGCAGTTTTCCTTACCATCTTTTCATTTGTCATGGATGCAGCCAAATTCATGCCTGGTAGAATAAAAGGGTATTATATAATATTTTTGTTTTCCCAAAGTAAGGTACATTATGCTGCTGCTCATCTGCAACAAATGAGGCTATGAATAGATGTAATTCTTCCATAAATATATTTGTCACACACTATTTCCTGAACAGAAGGGTACTGACACAGGACACAGTAAAACACAGTTCAAGTCTTTAGTTACAGAGAGATTCCCCTATTGCTCACACTGTGCCATGGCAATACAAATGATTTTGGGTTGCTTTTGTTACATGTGTTGTTATTGAAAACTTTTCCTGAGATGCAGAGCCCAAGTGCAAAATCCATGCTTTATGGGCAAGGCAATTTGCAGTCACAAATGAATAACAACATTGCTTTTCTTCTGCTGGAAAGATACATATTATTTTGTTTGGTAGAAAGGAAAATAAATGCTGCCAGTTGTATCAAACAGTCCTGACAGCAGGAGCTGAATTTGCTAGCATAGAAAAGCTGAGAAGTCAAATGTACTCTTATGAAATGCAGCACAGGATGAATGCAAGTGAAAGGATGTATTCTGCAGGCTTTCTCCACCCACCCATCACCAGCATTATAATACTTTAAAAGCCACCCTTCCTCCCAAAACACTGTTCAAACTCTGATTTCTGTATGAGCTGAATGCTGAGACTCCAAATGGAAGGGGGAAGGTCCGGAGCAAACCCTGTCAGGTGTGCACATTCACAGAGCAGCACCCCCCAAGAGCTGAAGCCAGTTAATATCCCAGCCTCAAGGCTTCCAAGGTGCGTCTGTCGCCTGCCATCTCCACTCCGTGGTGTCCCTTGGGACCCGCCCAGCTCCTCGCAGTTCGTGCCCCTGGCTGGGTTGCCGCCCCCCGGCCGGGGCTGCAGCGCCGCCTCGTGGCCGCGGAGCGCGGCTGCGCCCGGCCGCCGCAGCGCCGCGCAGGGCCGGCCGCCGCCCGCAGGGGGCGCTGCCCCGGGAGCGGGCCCCGCGCCGCCCCGCCGCGGGCTCTGCGGCGTCATCCCCGGGACCGGCGGAGCGCGTTCCGTCATCCCGACCCGCGGCAGGGAGCGTTCTCGGCGTGCACAGCAGAGCCGCTCGGAGTGGGAATAATGCTCTCCTTCCTCCGCCAGCTCTCAATTTATAGGAAAAAGCATTTTGTGCGTAAATTTGGGCTTGCATGCTGCTCTGAAATAGAATGTTCAGATAAGGTCTTCCTTGGGGCCAGCGAATCACATCTGAAGCTGGATCCAGGAACCTTAAGTTTCTAAGAGCTTCCCTGGAGACTTAACTAATGCAGGATCCGTGCTATTTGCATTTACACATGTGCCTTTCATTCACCCTGACCTTTTCCTCAGGAAGAAGGGCCCATCCAGAGAGATGGCCAAACGAGTGTTTCATTGCCTTCATTTTCCCCCGTCATCTTTCTTCGGCAGGAGCAAACGTGAACATAAGGACAAACAACAAAGACGAGGAGACTCCTCTGCACGTCGTTGCACGTTTGGGTGTCCCAGAGCTCGTGGCCTTTTACGTGGAACAGGGAGCACAGGTAGATGCTCTCAATGGCTACATGGAGACTCCCCTGGCCTGTGCAGCCTACTGGGCCCTTCACTATAAGGATCAGATATACAGCCAGGACCACCACCTCATCTGTCGGATGCTCCTCGACTATAAAGCTGAAGTGAATGCTCGTGATGAGGATTTCAAATCACCACTCCACAAAGCTGCCTGGAACTGTGATCATGTCCTGCTGCACATGCTGCTGGAGGCAGGAGCAGAAGCAAACATCATGGATGTCAATGGCTGTGCACCCTTACAGTATATCATAAAAGTGACATCTGTGCGGCCAGCTGCTCAGCCAGACATCTGCTACCAGCTGCTACTGAATCATGGAGCAGCTAGGATATACCCTCTGCAATTCCACAAGGTTAAGGATGTCTTTGTACAGTAGGGGTATGGAGAGGGGTGGTGTCTTGAACAGGAATGGGACTAGAGATCCAAACTCTCTGGATTTGCTGGAGTCCTGTCAGTCTGGGCCCAGAATGCCCAAAACATTGTGAGATGACCTACTGTAAGAGTGGTGTCATTTAACTGAAGTGAAATTACTGTTGTCTGTACCAGAAACAGATCTAATTTTTGCCAGACCCTAAATGCTGGTTGCAGCCTAATTTTTCACAGCAGATTCACTTTCTCATTAAGAGAACCCACATCCCTTTGTCAAACCTGGCTTCATACAGATTTAACTGGGCTATATGAAATGTGTATTTCGTGGTCTCCACCAAAGATTAGAGATGAGACTACTTGATTCAGTTTGTCACATCTGACATTTAAAAACCTATTCAAATCTATTCAAAATTAAATGCATCTCAATAAAGCTTTGGATTATTCCCAGGAAATGTGAGAATTAAGGAGAAGACCTGGGTCTAGAATCAAAGCTGATGACCAAAAAAAAAAAAAAAAAAAAAAAAAAAAAAAAAAAAACAACCAAAAAAAAAAAAAAAAAAACATAAAAAAAAAAAAAAAAAAAAAGGAAAAAGTATTTCAATATCCCTCCTGAAAAGTTTTTAAACACCTGCAAAGCCCAAGATGCTGACAGAAGTACCTATATAACAACACAGAGTGTTGTTATATCAGACAACTAAGTAAGCTTGCTGAAGTCAGGACTTATACTCTCTCATCCAGTACCCTATGCAACAGTTTGCAGACTGTATGTGCAAACTTTTAACAAGCCAAGCAACCAGAATCCTTTGAGTAAAATGTCAAAATTTTAATTGTGCCCTCTTGAGCCCAGGATGAGCAGGCTCTGTCTGTAGCAGAACAATGCTTAGTCTCCTAGAGGGTATTTGAGAGCAAGGTGTGAAGCCTCCTCTTCCTGCATCTTATTGCATGAAGTCGGTCTATCTTTCAAACCATCATTTACCTATCTGTAAAAATGTAGGATATTTATCCCAAAGGGATGTTCTCCAATTTTGTTTGTGAAACCTGGAGACTGCGTGAGACAAAATTGGATGAATGCAATATTATGCCCTCCATATGAGTGACAATAGACTGAGTTTTTTCCCTGTTGAGCTACAATTACTGGACAGAACAGTTGTGTCGGGACCCTTGGTCATGTTTTTAATTTTTCTTTAACAATGTGATTTTGATTCATATTATGGGACTTTTTTCTGTTCCTCAGCTGCATGTGCTGAAGCAAGAATTTTTGTGCATGGCTTTGCCTGGTGTTGAGTCACTCAACTCAGCTATGAACAAGCTATCTCTAGATTTGGGTGATAAAACCCACCCTATCTAGACTGTTGTGGAGATCTAAGCCAGCATTTCTGTATGGTCTTAAACTGGGGTGAGGCTGGGGTTTCTTGCTGTGCTTGCACAGAGTGGTGTGGAGGGGCCTCGTGTCTTTTGCATCTCCAGCATTATCTTCTCATAATTGTTTGGCTGTGCCTGTCCCAGTTTGCTGCTGTGCAGTGCTGAGCACCAGGCTAGCCCTGGCTTCCTGGTGGCACTCATGTTCTCCATGCATCCTGCCTGCAGGTGCTGCAAGCCTGTCATTCCCACCCCAGAGCTGTGGAGGTAGTTGTCAACTCCTATGAACACATCAAATCGACATCTAAGTGGAAAGCAGCCATACCTGAGGATGTCTTGGAGGTAATCTCTCCATGAGTTATATATGAGTAAAATCCAGGCTTATTATTTGCATAACCCATACCAAACCATTAGAAAGAACACTTTTGAAAGAGAAGAACATCTCAGAGGATGGGGACTTCCCCACTTAATATCTCTCATTTGACAAAAGCATATCACTCATTGGTATTTTAATTGCAATGTTATCCTTTGGAGCACTCCCTGTAATTGGTACAGCAGGAACTCAGCTGTCCCTGTACTCAGCCAGTGAAAAGATTCTGGCTGTGATTGGTGTTCCTTCATATTTTTCAATATGCATGTTTATATTTAAGTCAGCAAATATTTTTAAAGTGCCATATTTCATGGGTATGACTATGTACCTCTAGGTTCTGTTGCATGGGTCAGATTTCTGTGAACAGGATGAGTTAGCTGCAAATGCAAGGGAGAATTTAGATGAAAAGTAAGAGATTAAAGAGGAAAACATGGTCAAAAGGCAAAACTGTGGGACAAATGACATGCTTTGACATAGTTATCCCTTTAATTAAAAAATCCTTACTCCAAATATTCTGGTTGCCCTAAAACACACTTGTGGTTTATTTCACAGCGGCACCAGGATTTCTATGACTCCTTGTTCACTGTGTGCAGCAATTCACCACGGTCACTGATGCACTTATGCAGATGTGCTATTCGGGCAGTATTGTCAGAAAGGTGCCATCGAGAAGTCCCCTTGCTCTCCATCCCTCTGTCCATGAAGAAGTACTTGCTGCTGGAACCAGAAGGAATCATCTACTGAGACACACAGAGCAGGCACTGGCATCTCCCTTCTCGGATCCATACGCCTCTGTGGGGTGCCAGAGATCCAGGCACAATCCTGACACAGCCCTGTGCGTGTGTCCATTGGCTGGCCAGCCTGCAAGCTGGGCTGGCATTTACTGGCTCTCCTCTTTCACTGCACTGAGAAACCAGAGCTGCAGGATGCAGTTTGCACTGGGGAGGCAGAGCTGGAAAATTCTCCGCTCCAAATGCCCAGGACACACACTGCTTTGTTCAGCCAAGCTTAAACAATGCTGCTGCTTCCTTCAGTACTTATACCACTGCCTGCTAGACAGCATTAGGTTAAAACTGAGAAACCTTTGATATTGTTTCACTATGATTTTCTTCAGCTGTCATCTGGGGAGTAAAAGAAAGGATAACGTCAAAAAATAAGTCACAGAAATTATTTCCCAGAACGAAATAGGCAAATTGCTTTGGTTGTGACCACAGAAAGGTCTTCAGTAGTTTCTGTGTTTTCCTGTGCACTGACTCTCAATTCAATGTTAGTCCACTGTTCACTACCTGTCTGATTCTTATAAAGTTTTGTCATAAAGATCTTTTTTAATTGTAATATTTTTTTTCTTTTATCGACCACACTATGCAAATAAGATAGAAGCATGCAGCTCTGAATTTTTTTTGTGTTGATACTCAAGCCTGGATAGCTTTGAGCTCATACTATCTCTGTTTCTGCTCTCACTGTGACCAATGATAAACTAATATCCCAGTGTCAAGAAAGGCAGGTAAAAAAACTTTCCCCCAAAACCTGCATAGCTGTACTTGTACCCATCCATAGTATCTCTCAGAATGATGTTGGATGTGATCTGGGAAGCATATGAATGACCCTTCTCTTCGTTGACTAAAGAATGAACCTAGCCTGCTAGCATGTACTGTTCACCTCATTTTTGGTAGCTAGGTGCAGGTGAGAGGAATCCCACATTAACCAAAAGATGTTTCCAACATAAAGATGTGTTGTCTGTGCTGTTACAGACCTGCCAGCCCCCCTGATTTGCAGTTCCTGTGCTATTGGACCTGCAAGCACTTGTTTCCTTTACTTCCAACCAAGCTACTTTCTTCAGTCCAGGATGATGAAATGCAGAGCAGTGGCATTCATACAGCGAGTATCCCACAGCAAGGCCAAGTATGTGATCTGACCTACAGGTAAACCCTAATTTTCTTCCCTTTTCAGTTTGATGCAACCCATCTGGGCTGTTCCACTTGTTTTTAGATTCTGACAATTCTGGGCTCTGTGAAAAGAGAGGTAAGCCAGGCCCACCACTGGGAGCCAGTAACTCCTGACTTCTCATTGCATCTCTGACTGTGAAGCTGTCAGTCCCAATTGTTATTGTTATCTCTTTGCAAGACAGCCCACAGCACACTAGGCTCTTCCCAGACAAACCAGAGCAGCCAAGCTGTTCAAGTGTCTCTGTGTCTCACACAATAGCAACAACAGCATTTGAAGAAATGTGTAGATTGTTTAGTGTTACAAATCCCTTTGCTTTCCTCTCAGTTTTCATTAATTAAAGCTTGTGCATTGTGTACAAGAATCCACTTCATGAGTCTGTTTATATTTAACTAGACAGCAATGAAGATTGCTATTTAACAGTTTTCCCATTCCAATAAGGAATTTGAAAGTGAACAGAGACCATGACTAAATGTTTTCTTATGTGAATAAAGTTGTAATATAGGTCCCTGTAATTCACTAAGCCAATGAGAGATTTCCATACAGTTGCAGAGATGTCTCTATCAGAGAGAATAATCAGCATCTGAGACAGGTTTTCTACAGAAAAATCTGCTTGAGACACTTTCTGGTCAATGGGATCCACCGGATTCTGCACTGCAGAAAACGAGTGAATTTGGAAGGATGAAAAAGCATAGGTTATTTAAGCCCACTGCTTTTCTAGGTGATGCATCTCTAAGTCAGGCACGAGGAAGATTTACCAACTGGTCAAGTCAAGAAATATTTGTTGCTTTCTGAACAGTCTGAGAATGGGGCAAGCTGGGCAGGCCAGAAGAGACAGATGGAGGTAGTTGATATTATTGGAAACACATCCTCACACTGGCTCTTTCTGAAATGCTGCATCTGGAAAAGGGAGGTTTAAGGCAGAACAATAACAGTGTTTTCTGACCTGTCGTAGCCAGGACACTCTTGCTGAGAGAGAAAAATAAAGGCTGTCACCAGTGTTCCTAAATTCCCTGTGATCCTCTCCCTGTGCAATGAACACACTTAATTTTTATTCTGTGGGCACCCAGGCTCACTTCCAAGCTTTGTACTAAGCAGGTGCCAGATTATAGCCATTGTGGTATCTGACAGGGAGCATAGTGGGATCAGGCTGATTATAGTCATAGGAATTTGCAAGCTATTAAAAACACTAGAGAACATCAGTATCACAGAAAAAAAGACCCAAATTATGCACTTTAATTTCTTTTGTTGTTGAAGTTAGAAAGACCAAGAGTAAGCAAACCTTAGTATTTGTTCCTTTTTAGCACATTTTTTCCTCTATTTCTGTACTCTATTCCCACACACTGGATGGAGTTGCTCATGTGAGGTGTGGGAATACCTGATAATAAGATCATCATTTATCAAATTCATGGGATGCACAAAGGAGGGAGAGAGGAAGGATCTCTTTTCTCTGGTCACTAGTGACAGAACTCAAGGGAATAACTTGAAGTGTCAGGGAGATTTAAGTTGGGTATTAGAAAAATATTCTTCCCCCAAAGGGTGTTTGGGCACTGGAACAGGCTCCCCAGGGAAGTGGTCACAACACCAAGACTCACAGAGTTCAAGAAGTGTTTGGACAATGTCCTCAGGTTCTTTTTGTGACTCTTGGAAATGGTTCAATGAAGGGCCAGGAGCTGGACTCAACAGTCCTTATGGGTCCCTTCCAACTCAGCATATTCTGCAATTCTGTGATTCTGTGAGATGTCTTGAAATTTCATACTGTCATATAATTCCTGATCATGCTTTTGTATTTTCAAAGCCACATCAGATTGGATGACTCCACTTCTACACCACAAGTTTGAGCACAGTCATGACCTAAAATGACAGAAAATTGTTTTCAGTATTGTTTGGTGTCCTCTGTGAAATAAATTGCCTTTTGCCTTTTGGCTTCTTAGTAGAGATGTAGACATGTTTGAAACATTTCCACTGCATTCCATGGCCTATTAGAATATTTAAAGCACAGATGGGTGCAGAGAATGAACGATCCTTTCCCATTCCCATTGGCAGCCCTTTCCCAGAGCTCCCTTAATGACTTCTCAATGGATAACAGTGAGATTCTGCATTTTAGATGCAAGGTTTTAGGTGTCCATGGTTTTGAGAAGTTGTATATAAAGAGATGTTCTTAAGCCATATGAATTGTGGACAAAAGTTACCCATTCTATGACCATAGGGACACTCTGCATGTATTTGGGGCTCAATGCAACTGTTCATGGAAATATGGGCATCCTCTTTGTAAAGTGCTCTTGCAATAATTTTAAATTTAGCCCCTGATGTCTGCTGGGTCGAGCTTGACTGAAAACTTCAATAGTTTATCTGTGGAGAGTGTGTAGGTGAAACTGAAGTCTAACACTGTTCAGAACTGTATTTCCCTGCAAAATCTTTAAAAGTCTGTTCATACTTGGTCAGCTTTTAGATACTAGGACAAGAAGTCTAAAAGAACCTGGATGGTTTATCTCTTCAGTATTGCTGCCTGTCCTGATGGCATTATGCCTGTAAGTGTTTTGGCATCAATGACATTTTATTTATTCAAAACCGCTGACCATCTTTAAAAGAAAAAAATTTTTAATCTTTCTATGGGGCAATATCTTACAGCCTATATACCAGTCCTGACAGAATCAAGTTAACTGCTCTGGTCATGAATTTATAGAAATCTCCCAGGCTGAGCAAGACTGACTATTTTTGTAAAATGTCAGGAATACAAATATTAGGCAGCAGGGGAAAAGGTCTGGTCTGACATGAAAGGTGGCAGCTTTACTTTTAGCTGCAAGCACTGTTGGATCAATTTAAATGATCACAGGGGCTCAGCTCATTCATATTTAAGGAACGTCCTTTGAAAAACCTCTAATGCTTCTGGCAGCAGATTTTGCTCATGGGACAAATACCTTTAAATTAAACATACAAGAGTTCAGTCTTTGAGATGGAAGGGAAGATTGAAACAATCTGGGGTGGTCTATGCTATTATATATCTTTATTAAACTCTCAGAGGACAAAGAGGCATGTCAGGTTTTCAGTGCTGGAAGGTTTGAAGGGCTGCTGTTTTTTTCTGAAACACTTCAAGATACACATGGGTCAGACACAGCAATATTTCCATTTACTTTCAGGATATACCAGTAGAATTTCCCTGCAATCCCTATGGTTTGCTCTTCTAAATGAGAGTGCAGAACATGCTGTTAGCAGAGATGCCAAAGCCCAGCTAGTGTCTGACATCTTAACCTCCCCAGGAGTTATATTAAAGCAGGGGAAAGATCTAGCACAGTCACTCTTTGTAGAAAGGCAGGGACCTCTGGCACAGCAAACAAGTGGGTCAGAAAAGATTGCTGTATGATGCAACTGTCAAATGAAATCTGTTGGCTGCTCAGAAATTTGTTTCTGGCTCTTTCTCCAAATATATCTTAAGCTTCATAGGACACACAGTGTAGAAGTGACAATAGATATAATTCCAATGACCTGTTTGATTTTAATACACAGTTAACTTTGTTTTTTAACATGTAGCAGCTGTATGTTGCCCTTCACCTTGCAGAGGCATCCTATGGAGTGCTGCTAAATTACAGTTAAGACATTAGAAATGAGGACAGTGGGCATGTGATGATTTTTATACCACTGACAAACTGTCCAGTTCTGCTCTTTCAAGCCGGGCATGCTGGTGTCAGCCCGAGTTGCACCAGGCTTAAGCTTTGTAACAGTGCAATTGATGTGGCTGCTCAGGCTGCTGAGCATTGAAGTATTTTATGTCAACAGTAATTGTCAGTGGGGAGTTGCACTGCCTCAGTGTAGCCATAAGTTTGCTGGCTGTTTTTGGGAAGGAAGGGGGTTGCATCCAGACAGCTCTGGTCAAGGATAGGGATCTTAACTCATTCCTGGTAACCTTATAATATTGCTAGTTGGTTATGAAGTAAGGATAAGTAATTTCTAAGGTCTGAGGAAGAAAGTGCAGGAAGAAAAGAGCAGGAATATTTACAGAAAGTCTACTTTATAATATGCTATAAAAGAGGGGACAGAATTGTGTGCCTTATTGTTATATGGTCATTGGTTCATAGGGTATGAAAACACAGACATTGCTGAAGGGCAGTGCCTGAGCTGGCTAAAAGCACACAGCATTCTGGAAAGTGCATGACTGCAGTCAGGGCAAAGCCATTTCATGGCAAAAAGTAATGTAAGTATTTTAACATCCATTCAGAGTAAAGCTGGCCCAAAAGACTCAGTGGTAACAGAGTCCACTGAATTACACTTACCTCCCAATGGCTGAGCCAAGTCTCAGGTGAGTCTATCTCACTGTTTCCAGGTTCCCTGCTGGGGAGAGGTGCATGGCTGTCCTGAACTCAAGGACACGCTGTCAGCCTGTATCCATGGTGAGCACACCTCATGGTGGCAGCGCCTCTGAACCATACCTTGCTGGAAATTTGGGCTTTAGTTTGTCATATGGGTCCATTTCTTCCACAGCCCTGTCCTTTTTTTCACCATAAATCCACAGAATTTCACTGATTTCTTCCCTTCCCCTTCCTGGCTATGTAGCCTCTGGCACATGACATTGGGCCTGACCACCACTGCAACTCTTTCACTGCAACCTTTTCTAGCAAGGGCAGCAGAGCCACTACCCCTCTGCACCCCTGTGGTTCTGCAGGTTTGTGCCTCCACCACATCTGAATTTCCTACCCACAGCAGCTTACTCATTTCTCAATCTGCTGGAACAAAATCTTTTCTCAAATGCTCCTCATTCCTATGGTGGGTGGATGAAACTCAAATGTTGGATGGATTTTGTGGGGCAGGCTCTGGGCTTTGCCTTGCTGAGTTAAGCTGTGCTCACACATTTTGCCTGCCAGCACAGCAGGAGATTTCTACCCTGCATTCAGAAACATGGCAGAGAATCCTTGATCTGCCAGCTTTTCATGAAACCAAATTTTGCATCCTCCAGTGATGTGGGAGGAAATACAAACCAGTGACCTTGGCTTCTAATGGCACAGGATGCTCTAAAGGTCTGAAGTCTATCAGTGAAGCCTCTGTTCACGAAGCCGTTTATCTCTGGCAACTACTTTTTGTGCTGCTGGAGCAGTGGTTGCACCCTTCCCCAGCCAAGGCAGGTCAGCCCCGTGGATGGAAGCAGGCAGATGTGGCAGAGAGCTGTGCAGAGGAGAGGTAGGAGCTGAGTCTACCCACATGGTGTGGGGGGGAGGGGAGAACTGAGTGAGAAAGGGAAGAACTGGCATTAGAATTAAAACTGATATAGTAGATTTTTACATGGTGAATACTGAGTGTCTCAATACTGGGTGAGTTGCCATGCGCATTTGGAGGTGAAGTTCAACAGCAAATTAGAAAACAAAATAAGAAATCTAATGTTAAATGAGAATATTAAACATTGTTTTCTTAGCAACCTGAATCTGCATTTTGAGGGCTGTGAACTATGACTTGTGGTACTTGAAGCTGACAATGTTATCGTGAACACAAGACACCATTTGGTCACAATGCTCCTGTGTGCTCTTCCCCCTCAGGCACACCCAAAGGCCTGCTCCTGGCACCAAGGATGCACAAGCCACCAGTGTGGGCTGCAGCCCCCCTGTGCAGAGCAGCTTTCCACTCCAGTGACTGCAAGTTTAAGGCAAACCCAAACATTTTCTCCCGCACTTCAGGGAACCTTAACAATGGGCAAACAGATGCATATACAGCTCTGTCCCAAGCAGACAGGCATTGGCAAGCCCAACTCTTGGATGGAGGCATCCAAGAGACCCTGACATAGCTGCAGAGAGTTGAATGCTGGAGGTCTCCTTATCCCAACTTTCTCCTGCTTTAATTTCCATCTGATTGAAACTCCACTGAGTATTTGACATGCTGTGCTACAGTGTCATGGTCCCCTCTTGCAGGGCACCCCACACAGCAGCTCCGTGCTTCAGAGAAGTACTTGAGTTATGCACTTGGTGTCCCTTTAAGCCTTTGGCAGGGGGTGCATCCTGTCCATGGAAGTTCAAGGAGGAGAACTCCTTTTTTAGCTGACCAGGACACACTGTCTGCTCTTGCCTGGCCGTGCTGTGTGTGTGGAAGGGTTTGGTATCAAATGGCACTGAGTTCTGCCCCGTTGTTGGAACTCGCTTGAGCACAGGGGGAGCTGCCCTTTCCAGCACAGAGCAGGGAGAGGCTGGAGGGGCAGCCCTGTCTGCCCTTCGCTTTCAGGTGACCTGGGTGCATTGCTGAGATGGTGGGTAAGTGACTCTGGGCAGGCAGGATCCAACTGCAGGTAACACCTGAAATAGACTTAAATGTGGGCTTGGACTTTGCCAGAGCTCCTTCGAATACCCTGGAAAGGGAGAGAGAGCAGTGGCATGACCAGTCTGGGCGGTTCTTGCTGACTCGACATAAACATGTTTTGAAGCTTCCAGTGCAGCCAGCGGGAACATGCTGTCCCTGCGGGTTCCCTGTCCCTGGCTCAGGAGGCTGCCAGAACAGCAGCCAGAGGCACCACTGCTTCCTGTGGCCTACAGTCCTGGCTGCAGCAGGCTGTGCTGTATATGCAGCCAGGGTTTGTTCTCGAAAGAAAAAAAAAATGGCTGCAGCAGGCTGTGCTGTATATGCAGCCAGGGTTTGTTCTCGAAAAAAAAAAAAAAAAAAAAAAAAAAAAAAAAAAGAAAAAAAAAAGGATGGAAAACTGTAAGCAAAACAAAAGATCCAGCAGCTAGCAACAGACAGCAGCTATGAGTATTCTGAAGGGTATTTCTAAGGTTTATAATTGTTCACTTCTTATTTACAGTGCTGTTTTTTATCCTTTTATCTAGCACTAGCTACCAGTCTGCCCCCTGCGTAAACCAAGCTATTCATGTCCAAGTGTCTGGAGCTCCATTAACTCTGGGAGGCAAACTTTGCTTTTTTAGGTGCCCGGCCCCAAACAGCTGGAATAATCTTCCAGGCGTATTGAAGCAGGCTCTCACATTGTTTGGGGTTTGGACACTCTTAATCCTTTTCTAAAAAAGCCTGAGCTGTTGAAATGAGCACAAGCTGTGGCTAGTCACTGTCGTGTGCCATTAAAGAGTTCTGTCCCTCTCTCTCCAGGCATGGGCAAAACCCATTTATCTCAGTGGGGCTCTTGGTAGCTGGGGATGCAAGGACAAACTGCTCACTTTGTGGAACAGGGACACACTTATACCTCAGGCACAATGGTCTCTCTGCACCCAGACTTCTGCAGTGTGTATTGGGGCTTTTGGTCTCACCTGGCTTGAACAGAAAGGATGAGAGCTGACCTCCCTCTGCTTGGGGGTGTTTGGATCTCAAGCTTCTCCAGTATAAGGGCTGTACTGAATTAAGTAAGGAGGATGAGCTGAAGCCAGAACTGTCAGCCAGTTCAGTGCATTTAAGTTGCCCATATGTGCATACACTATTTACATTCAACATATCTTGAAGGTATAAATGTCAGTCATATACTTCTCTTCCTCTCCTAGCTGTGGCTCTTGATTTTAAATTCCTCCTGCACAATGAGTGCCATCTTTCAGATCTCGTGGCAGGTAACAGAATTAGGCCAACCTCTTGTCTGCTTTTGTACCCTGAAGGACTTAAAAATTAGTTTGCCTGTGTTTTCTAGAGACCTTTAGGAGTGTGTGTGTCTCTTCTACAGATCAGCAACTCCAGCCATTTTGTCTTTGTCCACCATTCACTGGTGGCAACAGGAAGCTTGTCACAGATTTCAGTGGACATGGTGTGAAGTCTAAAGGTGAATTATTACTACTATCATATTGTTTAATATGTTGATCCCACACTATTTTATCACTGTTGATCCTCCACTCTTTTATTGACTGAAAAAGAGTTAGCATATGTTAGAAACTTCACAGAAAAGAACAGGGAATTCAATCAGTACTTCTCAGACATGCTTATAAGACAACACATTGATCCATTATCTATATTCTGTATTCCATACTCATACACTATTAAAATAAGATCAACTGAATAACTGCTTCTGAATCTACTATTTTGTACTAATCCATAGTAAAAAAAAATACTTCCATAAGTGAAAGTTTACCATAATTTACAACAATATATTGTTATTCTCCTACAAATGTTTACATTATTTAAAACCCCCACACTTTCCAGTTTTAATTATACTTTAAAAAATGCTGAAAAACAGTTTTCATTGTCAACAGCTTTGCTGGAATCTTCTTCTGCCTTATGAAAGAAACTGCCCTCTTCTGAAACAGCCTCCTGGTAAGGGTAGACCTTTTCCCTTCAAAACTCTCCTTTCCTAAGGCAGTGGATATGTTTATTCCTGGGAAGAATTGGGAGGATACCCACTTCTTCTCTGCTGACTACTACAGCTCAGATTTAAAGTCAAGACACATCCTCTCCCTTAAGATCAATACTCAGAGGTGAGGAATATCATTCTGCTGCAAAGGAAAAGGCAAGAACAATCCATTGGAGAAGAAGAAGAAGATGGTAACATCTGTTTCAGGAAGCTGTGAGTACTGTAATATAATTTCCAAGGTCTGTCTGAATCAGTTTATGGCATACCAGTGAATAATTTTACCGTTCGTTCAGCTGTTCTTACATAGATGTTGCCATTCAAAACAACATCTATGTGAGATGATGTTGTTCTTCTTAGCCTGGGAATATAAAGAGGGTGTTACAATTTAATTTTTTTTCCTTAAGTGAACTGACCATCCAGTGGCCTTGAAAAATCATCAAAAGCTTTTGGAAGTGTGACATGTCTCCAAAGGATTGATCCCATCTTTTGGCTACAGAAGACAGGCTCAGAGCTTGCAGAACCAGGCATCAGTAGCAGGAGTAGGAAGAGTACAGAAACAAGAGGGCAAGGCCATGGAGGGAAAAGCACATTAACGAATTTGTGCCAGCAGAAGACTTCTGGGCATCTCCATTAATAACATGAGTAATGAAAACTTCAGGTGTCCCTGGCCAGAGCTTGAAAATGAATCTTTCTTCATTGTGTATTTATGTAAAAGCTGAGGTGAAGCTGATTAGAAGTGAGGGAAAGTTGTGAGATTAGAAGGTTTTATAACAGGCCCTAACTAAGCAGAAACAAGTGCTTCTGTGTCAACACAAACACAGTTTTATGCCTGAGCAAACAGCATCCTGTGGTCTGTGAGGCAATGACACAAGCCTGGTAACACTGAGAGTGGTCCAAGCCATCTGATCCACCCCTGTGTGAAGGTTGAATTCCACCTGTAATGCCCTTCGTAAGTAGGGGTGTGACACTGGGTCACCAATAGTCTTTGCAATGCCTGTTACTAACTCTGCTGCATGCCACAGTGATTGGAGGAGACCACAAGTAGTCCTGGCAGGTATTCAAAACTGTTTTCCAGTTAATTTGTTAAAAATCAACCCAGAGTTTTGTGGGCAGTAAAGCTGCTAGGAAGAGAAAACCACTCTAAGGAATAAACACTACAAAAAAGAGCTTTCAGTGCATCTGATTTACCTGTGTGTCTCATGGCATTTAACAGTCAGCATCAGCTACATTTAGCTCCTAAGTTTCTGTACAAGGTCTGCTCAGCAATAGGTGTTTGGTTGTCCCAGGAGTAGTAAGCCTGGCTCAGAGCTGTCTGGCAGCACTGCTGCCCTGTGGGGTGCAGAGTGATGAGCCTTATGCTGTCTCCTGAGATCATGTGGCTCTAGGACCAGTCCCAAACCCAGACAGATCAGCAATGTCAGTGATGACAAGCTGTACAGAGGCAGCTCCAGGCTGAGACAGTTTGTGCCAGCAGCCAGCTCATCTGCAGTGATCCCATTGGCATTTGCTGCAGAATAAATATTGTCTGGGATTTTCCATTATATATCCACCCTGGCCAGCACTGACAAAGCAGCAATATAATTTTGAGCTCTGTATTTCCAGTTTCCCACAGCCACACAGAACTAGTAAAAGGACTTGAGTCATTTACCTAAACATAAATATTCACAGCTACTTTAGAAAGCCAGGGCTGTCCATACAAAGTATTTGCATGGGACTAGCAGGCATGACGAAGGACTTGTGGAAGACCTCTGTCTTCCAGAGTGACAGATGAGAGACAGGAAGAATACTCCAGCCTGCCTCAAATAGGACCGGGTGTCTATTTTTAGGTAACTGAATGAGCTGGGAGCCAGCTCACAGCTGAAGCCATCTAAATACAGGTGCCTAGAGGTGCCCCCATGTCTGGGGTTCCATTACAGTCAGTTGAACTCTGCCACTGGAGACAGGATCACTGTTCAGGCACCAGAAGTAGGAGTCTGTTTCAGAAGAGCTTTCTGCAGTTCTCTGCATACACTGACACTGGTCATGAGAGGCAGCTGAGATACCCAACTCACACCTCAGCACGCACACAGAGACGTGTACACAGTGTCATGATAAGGTGTTGTACTTGGTGTGCTGTATCCCTTGCCAAGGTTCTCAGCTTTCAGGACCAGTCCAGTGATATGACTAAGTACAGAAAGTCCAACCTATAACAGCAATGTAAACAAGTGTCTTTTTTTCCCACCTTGCTTTTCTTATTTGAGCCTTGCAGATAGGGCTGTATCACATTTATGTAACTTAAAGCATACCTGTTCTAAACTAGAAACTGTCATATTCCAGGAGAATGTTCAGCAGCTCAAAATAGTGGGATTGGCAGTCGCTGCTCTTGCTGTGTTTCCTGCATCACAATTCTGTCTGCATTTTCAATTGGACATGACTCCCAGGAAGGCAGTGAACTCATTCCTCAAGGCTGTGCCCCTCACACAGCAGGAAATCAGACAGATGTTTTCCTTTCTTTCCTCTTCCTGTTAGGAGCTGAAAAGCAAGAGTGACACAGGGAAATTGTGCTAATTCTTCATGGGCCAATTTGTTGCACTCTGCTTTGATTTTCTTTCATAGTTGCAGAAGGAATATTGAGGAGAGCTGATGAGCAGCTCCTGATCATGTATACACATGCATACCTCCCACATATATTTTTTCTGTTTATATAAAAATCTTACATTATTAAGAGCCTCATGATATTCTGAAGACCCAGAACTGTGTTCCAGCTTCTTGCTTTGACACCCAACATTTGAGATTGCAAGGAAGAATTAAAACTGCCTGTGGGTATTTTTGCCCTTTCTTCCCTGTGAGGAGAATGGAGAGAAGCAGGACTGACTGAAGCTGCCTACCAACATGTCCTTTCTCCTTGCTGACTGTGAGGAGCAGCAGCATCTAGCTAGGTACTGAGTCCGTCGTTCTGTCCAAATGTGTATGACAGCAAAGATGTGCACAGCCACCTTAGGGCCTGTAATACAGGGTCAGGACAGGCATTTAAAATTGTGTTGTCAGTTCTTGGGAAATACAAACCCAAAGATGTTAATGCAGAAGTGTGCCCCTTATTCTTCACCATCCCCAACCCCAAAAATTAGCTGAGCTGAGGGATCATAAATTGCCATGCTCTGCCTCCTGTTTGCCAAAACGTCTAAAGAACTTAAGAGCAGAAAATTCTTTGGTGTTATACCTGATCCTCTAAAGTCATCATTGCTGCCAGAAGGAGGGAAAAAACCCAACTATTTTTCAGTCCAGTAGTGTTTCTCATCAAAGGTAGCAAAGCTTGCTTTGTGATAATTCTTTGGGAAGGACATTATTGCATGTAAAGGGCAAAGTCTGGCAGATTTAAAAACTTGGTTAAGTGATAGGGAAACGATGATAATGAACAACTGTGTATAAAGGCTCCAGGGAGATTAATCTGGATATGTGCCCGAGGCACCAGTAACACTAACCAGTAATCAGTGTACACTTTTTAGCTAATGATCTGGAAGAGAAAACACAGGGTGCTTTGGCATGGTTTCTGTTGACATCAGGAACCTGGCTGTGTAAGGTCCCAATCAGAGAGCAAAGGGCGAAAGTGCAACACCTGCTTATCTCCTGTGAAACCAGAACACTCTTCAGCTGTGGGTAAATGTGCTGATGTCAGTGCCCCCCTGACATGCCAGCAACGAGCCAGCCCCACACGGTGACAATGAGCTGGTGCATAGTCTCTTACGCACTGGCCTTGTGCAGGGGAAGGAAAAAACCCACATTTTGCCTTCTAGACTGCAGGAGCTTGGCTGGGACTGATGGTCTGTGCACAGTGTGCTGCAGAGAGTCCTGGGCCTGCTGGGGCCATGTGCTCAACAGGGAGTTGCACACACAGCAGCTTGGGTCCATCCTGCTGCACTTGGGCATCCCTGCTCCCAAGCTTGCCATAGGCAAGGTATAGAATACACATATGTGCATTTCTGCTTCGAAAACCTGACAGGAAATATGCAAGTCCTGTCTATAGAGACTGCAGCATGGTAAAAACTATGGGAAAACACAATTGGTGTTTTTGTTGTTGGTTTCCTTTTGTTTGCTGTAGTAGTTTACTGAAGTCCCTGGTGTACTTTAGTTTGGGGATGTTTCTCCCAAAACACCTGGCATACTGGGGTATGTCAGAGTGGTTCATTTCTGTAATTGCAAAATGCAAAAACGGGATGCCATGTAATCTGCTTCCCTGGCATTACAAGTCAAAACCCTTAAGAAGGTGAGGGTTGTTAAGGAGGGTAAACTCAGTACACAAGGCTGTCACTTCTAGATTTGCAGCCAGACACCTGAAGTCAGGCTGGTTTTCACTGCTCTGCTTTCAGGTAAAGCGTATAAGTATGTTTTCACAGTTACTCTATCTTCTTAAAATTAAGGGAGTTGCAAGATGGCTCCAGGCCAACACAAGTCTGCTAGAGCACCAGCCGTACAGGACTTTTGGGTCACAACCCCATCTGATCACTACCATTTTCTTACACATCAGCTATGAAAAGCCAGCTGTCCCATTGCTTCAGAGCTGAAAGACAGCCATCCCTTTAGTCTGTGGGAAAACTTTTTGTTAGATATAAACCCAGTGATGGATGTCTTTTTTTCTTGGTCTATTTTCATATTCTTTAAAACTGAACAAAAGACAACTAGAGCATAGAACAGGCACTGATGAAAGATTCCCAGTTCTCACCTCAAAATGGATACCCTCCTAATTAAAAGGTAAGCAGATGGGTAAGGTGATGCACTGATTGTAGTTACTGTGTAACCTCTCAGCCAATGCAACATTAAGCATAAGCAGATCATTCTTCAGTGTTTCTCCCTGCTGCTGAAGCTGACAGGGTATGAGTGTTGTTTTTATCTACTCTATTTCTTAAGACTTCAAATAAAATGTACTTGCTTGGATCAGACTTCTTAAAAATGAAAGACAGACAAGCATTTAAAACATTTTATTATAAAACTATTTCAACATCTATATCCAAGTAAAAGATTTAAAACTACAGCTCTGCTTTCAGAACAAAAAGTCAGTGAATGCTGGAAAATGTGCTGTATTATCTAGGTAGATAGCCATAGTTTGCAATACTACACAGATTTCATGTATGTTCCTTAAGTGCTTCACAACCTCTGCCTGTATCATGAATGTTCTGCAGCTTTGCTCTGCAAGCAGCATCACAAACATTTTTGCAGCACATATGTGCCTCAGCTGCTTTGAAACAGAAATTACTAACTGAATCAGCTGCAGCTGTGTTACAAATGTACCATCACATCATAACTCTGGTTCAAGCATTACTAGATGCAGACAGAAAGGTATAAATTGTGTGTACTTGACAACAATGACTATTTTGGTATGTGTTTTTGACCTTGTATTCCATTCAAAAATCAACCAATACTCAATTACTTTATGACTGTGAAAGCATCTTTTTTACACCTGTATATTCCAGACAAAAGTATTTTTTTTTATTAGCCATACCATTCACTGAGCTGAGCTCAGATGCATTATCTGGTGACTTTTGGTGACTGCAGCTTATTCACCAGGATAAAAACAGCTGAGATGCAGTACTAAAGTCATCATGCTCACCAGTTATCATTAATACATCTAAAATTAGTTTTTAAAATAAATGAGGCATATCAAAATATATTCTATTTTTAATGAGAAATATATCCAAACAGGACTTCAAGAATGCAAAGGTAGTTTCCTATTAAAAACCATTTTAGATTCACAGTGTAATATGGAGTCATTTTCTGCCCAACAAATAGAAATCTCTAATAAAAGACTGTCATACTGAGCAGGATGTTTTACTGTTTTTGCAACTTTTTGCAAAGGATCACATAAACAGAAGATATGATAATTTGTAAAAAAAAAAAAAAATTCAAGTAACATTCTATAGCCCTGATGAACTTTTGACTGGCCAGCTTGGCAACATCCAATAGTTCAGCATTGGTTAAGTTTACCTTGCTTACAAAAGTGAAAACACACAAAGAAGACAGGCAAGGAAGAAGCTTACTGACAATGGAACGTTTTCTGAACAACTCTCTCCCACTGGCACTTTTCCTGTGGGAACTTCCCCTATTTTGCCCTTCATAAAAGCTTTCCTGTAGTTTTCAGTGCTGTTTTCATTTTGAAATGCTTCCTAATCCCTTTCCATTGCAATGAACAGTTCTTAGAATAAGTTTTTCCAGTTCCAACACCACTCCTGAAAACCTTTCCAACAGACCTTCAGTGCTCAGCCACAGCTTTCAGGGTATAGATTCCCTATGTATGTCTTTGAGCTGATGTGGTCCAATACAAATTTGAAAAAGACAATTGGCAGATTTTGGTTTAGTGTATTGAGCCACTAATCTAACAGCACAACAGAAACAAACACAGAAGACTGTGTTTTAAAGGTGCTTATACAATACATATCACCAAAGCCTTTCTGTTCAACTTGCAATGTCTGACTTCAGCTCTTGGAAAATCCTGACTTGGAACACGTTCTCCAGAATACAGGGACATAGGCTCTAATATTAGAGCTGTTACAACCAAGTAGCTTTCCATTTCTTTCCAGCAGGTCATAAAAATACAAAATATCTAGCAATATGACTCACAGAGCAAGGCATCACTTATGATGAAGACCACTTAATTATTCCTGGAATCTTTTTTTTTTTTTTTTTTTTTTTTTATGGGATTTTTTTTTTTTTTGCAAACACTTTCTTCCTGCCTCCCAGGGCTTCCTCTTCTCCAGTCAGGCTGTACTTGAATGCTGTTTGTATCTTACTACAAGACTGCCATGTTAAGTGGATCTTTTCCAAATGTTATAAATAGAACTTTAAAATATCTACCTGAGAAGTTCTGTAATAAGATAAACTGCTCACATAACTATTCTAAGAGAAAAATATGCATCAGCATAACTCGTTTATCAGTCAATATTAAGAATTCAAGCATTAAACAGGATTTTAAAATTGCACACCCCTACCACACCAAGTCTTTGATCATAGTAAAAAAATAGCTTCATTTTCCTCTATACACAGCTCCTCTTTATAGACATATGTGCTCCTATTTTCCCCCTCCTGAAGTCCACAGCAAGGTTTCAGATTCAGTGCATATAGCCTAGGTTTATGATACTCTTGTCTTCTTTTTCTTCTGCTAGTCCTGAAACTTGCTTTGAAGGTAGATGAACACTTCCAAATGCTGCTCTTGAGGCCAGCTTGATCCCCTGGGATGTCTCAGTATCAACTTCTCTTCAGGAAGCTGCACTCTGCTTTGCCATATTCTTTGGGTCTTTACTTGGGACACACCAGTCATCTGCCTCTGAGGTAGCCTGGTAGTGCTTGGAAGCTGATTTGTTAAAAACTGGGAGTTTTTCTATTGATTCTGTTGATAAGGCCTAAAAGTCAAGAAGGATCAGGTTAATACATCTCAGTAATAGCACTTAGCAAAAATTCATTCAGCATTCCTAAAGCATTGAGCCAGTGACCCTATAAATCAAAGTTATTCAAACAAATGTTTCTACAAGAGATGTGGTAGTTTATGTGCTTCAGTATCTATAATTAGTTTGGGTAATTTGGTAGGACAACTGCAATACCATCTCATCCTATTTATGCATTTTTCATGAGCGTTAAGCAGTACCCTCTAACATGTTTTCAAGATAGTCCAGAAATGCATGGAAAAGGACTTTGATTTGCAAAATTCCAGTGAAAATTTTTCAATGAAAGTGTTACATATATACATCTGAGCTGTCTCTTCCTTTCCTACTTCTGCTCTGATTTTGCTTCAGCATTTTCAGTTTAGCAAGAGGAATTCAAAGGCACTTTGTCCCATGATTAAGCAGAGAAAATAGAAAAGAACTTGTAGTGTTGTTAGCAGGTTTCTTATAGAAATAGCAGTGCAAGTTATACACCCAGTGTTCAAAATTACTGGTATCTGAATCCCATAGAGGAGCTATATGGCCGATGTTAAACAGCACCTTGACTCCTTAAGGATTTAGTTAAATGGACTTTCCACCAGATCTCTTGCTCATACCTTTACTTCACTCTGAGTACTTTGTATTCCATGAACAAACAGCACCTTAACACAATCTGAAAACCAACAGGGCTCTCACTAGTATTTGTTCTAGTAGACTAGTTATAGCCAGGTGACTTTTCTTGATACCAGTTAAAAATGCAGTTACTAAGTCTGTCATTACTCAAGAAAAAAAAACGAGCTACTCATGAGCTCTGTTTACCTTAAAATGGTAACTAGAAGTTATCCCACTGCATTAATGGTAGTAATCTTTTCTGTAACTAAATTTAAATACATACCTTCAAGTAGATGATAGCATCTGTTCCATAACCGCATATGGAGTAAAGATTTAGATCTCCTTGAAAGTATTTAGCATACAGACGAGAAATTGGCAAGCCATACCCAAAGCCAGCCTAAAAATAAAGTACAATATAAAATTAATTCTTTTTTTTACTAGCTCTAACGGCTTGAAGTCAAATAGTTGGAAAGTATTCAGAGATTTTTAAGCTGTTAAAAAATCCTTTGAATTTCCTTTTCTCTTAGAAGGAAACATAAATCTCTAATCAGTTTCATAGAGAATTAGAGAATGCTGAAACTGACCATTAAAAACCCTAAGCCACAAGAAAAAAAAAGTTTCAATGGAAGAGGGAAGGTCTACATATATGTCCCACTTTTACACATTAAATTTAAGTATTTTTCCTTCCTTTGTTATTACTAGTACAGCTTGATTAGTAAAAGGAGCTTTCTACTGGGAGATAAAGACATAAAAATCTAAAAGACTGTTCCAGTTGTGCTTGCCTCCAGAAAGATCACATTATCTACAGGAAGTTTGAGGCCTGAGTGGACAGTGAAGACAAATTAAATTAGTGTCATTGGAATGCAGGAAATTAAAAAAATGAGGGAATTAAGATTCAGGTTGTAATGTTCCTCTTTCTTTATGCCTTTAAAAGCATATTTTTGTCCACTAAGCTAAATACTAAAATTCTGTTTCAGAAAGTGTAAATTCATACTTATGGGGCACAGTAAGTCTTTGAATACCCCACAAAACAGCAGGATGGACACAGTGCTTCATTATTAACCCACCAACACTTACAACAACCTAATTGCAACATGAGTATTGAAAGTATCTTACAAGAGGGGTATTTCGACCATCATCCACATTTGGCCTTGGTGCAGTGGAATACATGTAGCTAAAGAGCCGCTCAATTTTCCTCACTGGAACACCACCTCCTCGGTCTGAGACCTGATTTAAGAGAGAACAAAGTTAACAATAAGCATGCACTAAGAATGGTGCACAGTGTCTTCAACCTGTTCTCAGAGGCCAGATCTTTTAAAAGAACTAGCCATGAATGTATAGTAATAAACATTACAATAAGTCCATTGTAGTAGGCCAACAAAATACCTTGATTGCCAGGTCTTCTTTCCCTAGAACAACTGTCACTTCAACCGGAGAAAGGGTCGGACTGTTTTCTTGGAATTCAACAGTTGCTCTCATTGAATTCTACAGAAAAGAAGGTTATTGTGATCAGAGGTTGTTGAATCCATACACTTCAAACCCTATCCCTTTTACACAGAGACAAAATATCCTCTACTCCTATCAGTGCCTGGTTTCCAAGGGACATGTTTAACATTTGGGCATAATGGCAGCATTTATCATCACTTAAGGTGGGAGAGGAGGTCTCACACCTTAAAGCATCTAAGCATAGCCAAGACTCTTCTGAGTGAAAGATTATAACATTCTTGCTCGACATTAACTCAGGCACTGTAAATTAAATAACTCCCTTAAAGTCAACAGGTTCCTGGAGAAGACCAAAGTTCAGCAGTTGCTAAAGGTTGCCAGATTTCTGTATGTCACGTTGGCAGCACTGAAGTTCAGCAGCGCTCAGTACTCCTTAAATACATTGTCTGCTCCATAGAAGAGGCAAACCTGCAGATGTAATCTCTCTAAAAGCAGAAGGCTACTGGTGGCCACAATCCCACATCCCACTTCACTCTTCCAGTCTATACTAACATACCTTAAAGAGCTCAAAAAGCATGTGAAAAAGATGAGATGGAACATATACAATGCTAATTGGTTCTCCTGGAGCTTTTCCTAGAGGAAAGGAAAAATAAAAAACACTTAAAAGGGTGATGACATTTTTCTATATGGTATCCAAATTTTACAATTAGCAAGTTGTGAAAACAAACAAAAAAATAAATCAAGTTTCATTTTTGGTTTTCCTCCTCCAAAATCGGCAAACAGCTTTATGCATTCATAACAGTGTTTAGATTACAATTACCACTTGCTTAGTAAGTTTCTTTTCAAATAAACAAATAAAAAAAGCAAGTATTTATTCCTCTTTATAAATAAAGGATTTCAAACATTAAGCAGACTGCTGTCATCAGCCACATGCAGGCATCTCAGGCCACACCCAGCATTTCAGTCAGCAGCCCCAATTCCTCACTCCAGATATGGAAGTCCTCTCTAGCAACTTCTCATATTGCTTTAGGTACAGGTTTGTCTGACTTTTCTCAAATTTATAAATGGTACCTCAAAAGTGTTGTGTTTAAGATACCCCAACATTTGAGTTCTAACATGGGAGGTTAGATGAGGTGCGCATAATAGAAAACGAAGAGGAACTAGGCCAAGCCAGATCAGCTGGTATGTGCACTAAGGTTACAGAATTGGGAGACTTTTGAGTCAGTAGAAGAAGCAGTTTTGGCTACCAAATAGGCTCTTATCTTACCATTCACTTGAGTAAGTTTCAGTTCTGGAGATGTCAAGTAATACTGGTCACACAACAACTTGGCACTTTCATAAGCATCTGAAATAATTATTTAAATAAATTGTATAAAGTATAATATCAAGCAATGTAAAAATTCATTCTAGTACATAGCAGAATACAGCTTTTAGCTGCTTTAGCTCCTAGGGTGTTAGAGAGCCTGACACTGGAATGTGTCTCAAGGGAAAAATAACATTGCATCCACTGTGTGCACTAAGAATTGAGAACAAGGGCAATTACAGAAGCATGAGCAAATCTTTGTACAGTTTAATAATTGTATGGAACTGATGCATCTACTATTTACCAGTAGGTAAAACCAATCTCAACACCTCAGACAACTCCTACTCCTACCTCATTTGTCACTCACTAGAACTTACTCCAGCATGGTTTTTTACTGCTACTTTAATTCTGTCCTCTAAAAGCTCATGCCTTAGTAAGACTACTTTCAGCTATTTCAGTTAAAGCCAGTCAGCACCCTCTACAACTGAAGCTGGCTACCCAAACTGCTTGCAATCAGATATAGATACCGATCAGGAAAAAAAATGTTAAAGCTCTGAGAATACGCACCATTCACTACTTCAACAACATCACAGCAAGGATCAATGCTTCCAATGTGCCTTGGGTGCCCCGAGCCAGATTTATCATCAAAAAGAAGAGCTGTTTGACATGAGAACAATGCAACATTTAATCCCAAATACTGTGTTATGAAAAAAAGTCCCAAAACTCAGACTAATACAGTGTGATCCCAACATATGATTACATAAAATACTGAATGTTGTTTATTACTTTTATGACTTAAAATACTATATACTGTCAGCAAACTATGTTGGCCTTTCTGTAGTTCACATCTAAAGGTTTTTCAGACATAAAGAACAATATCCCTACATATTCCACAAAACAGTTATTTCAATTATTCTGTAGTCTAGAAAACAAGTTTTCCCATTACTTTCTTAAGTGACAGATTCAGTTTCTAAGTTTTCAGTGTCACACAAAATCATGTAAAGCAGTTCTCCAGCAGTTTTAAGAAGTGTTGACATTAAAATGTTACTTACTAGGTTGAAGTTTTTTCTCAGGTAAAAATTTCTACTTACTGTGTTGGTTCATTAGCATCCGGGTGGAAATACGGCTCATGTAAAAACGATCCAAAAAATATTGGATGTTTTGATTGGTGACAGGATCTACTTTATAAGTGTCTTTGTATTCAATTACTCCTTGAGCCATTGTAGGAACCACATCATGATGTCTGTTTCGCACTCTAACTAGAGTATCTATAAAGCTAGGTTAAAAAAAAAATTCTTTTTAGAACATTATTCTCAGACTACATAGAAGCAAACTTTGTACAATGTAATTATCTAATCTAGCACCAGCACAGATAAGTGTTTAACAGCCTTAATATTAAAATAGAGTGTAGTTATTTTTTACTCTCTTAAAATAAGTAATTCTTTATTAACCTAACACAGAAGCATTTGGCATTTTTTAAACAAAAGGTATAATAAGCCATATCAAATTCACCACCTGTTTACTCATTTATTTGAGTAGAGGAAAATGTAAGGAAAGGAAAAAAGATGCCAAGCTGACATCTCAGAAAAAAGCAGAGATATAACTGCACAGATCACTTTTTTTTATTTCTCTGTCATGACAGTTCAAGGGGTAATATGACCTTGAAATTAAGCTGTGACAGGTTATATTTATTTGCAATATTGCTAAACATGGTCTGAGGTTTCAACCAGCTTGTTCTATGTTAAGCTCTTCCTTCTAGATTATCAAATTCACCTCATCATGACTATCAGGTCTAAAATCAATATACTGTGAAAAGTAGAATGTGAACTAAAAAGTTCAAAGAAAAACATGAAAAACTTACTCAGATAAGACTTTTTGGTCATCTGGGCTTTTCTGATGGAATTCAATCAACTCCTGTAGGCTTTGAATGTACCTATTGAAAAAGAAAACAAGAAACATATGCTATTAATTTGATTTTTATTAAGCTAGCAGTATCAAAACTTGTCTTGTGCACATCATTAGTCCTAACAAGTCATCTAGAAGTTTTAAGTATGTTTGAAATATCCAAGTTACAACCAACAATGGAATGACAGATAGACACTTCTTGACTGTCTGAATTCTAGACGTTTTAAGTCTTTTCTTGTGCCTGCCACCAAAGAGGAATCTAAGCTCTCACTTAAGATATGTAGGATCCCCTTATAATTCTTTAAAAGAGATGTATTTCAAAAGAAGATCCAAATGACAATGCCAATCAGGAAGCCACTCAAAATTTTTCCAAATCTGATTAGCTTTGGCAGAAGCTAAGTAGCTGAGCTTCTTGAACTAACATCTGACAGCCTTGACGCATATGGCAAAGGCACAGCAGTTTGCTATATTAAGAAGAGTTTCTAGATCTGACTCTAATACGTCTGCTCTTCATGTCAGTCATCCTGGCAAATGCTGCAACTGTGCCACTAAGCAAGGTTAAATCAGATTCAGCCACTGTGTCAACTGCAGAGATTATATTAATTGATTTTCAAACATTTGCTGCACAGGTCAAAACCAATATACTTTGGAATAGAACCTCTGTTAGTGACTCCATCAGTGAGAGATCAAAACAAATATATAGTCTGCTTTCCCATTTTGTGTTGGGCTCAGAGTCTGTAATGCTGTGTGGAAACAGAACACATTTTCTTTTCTCCCTTCTCTATTAGCTATTCCAAACTGTTAAATCCCTGCCCCCCACAACTATTTATAGATAACAGTATAATCATATTGGTTTTCAATTTAATTTAGTATGTGAGAAAATGACAGCGTGTAACAGCTTGCAAATCAGATTTGATAAAGGAACTGCATTTCTACTTTGTTTCTATTTTGTTATGCTTTCTACTATTCAAAAAGGTCTGCAATAACAAAGTTCTCAAAGCTGTGTAACTTTGCATGCTGAATTCAAGCAGTTCATACTTACCAGCTTTTTACTAATTTTACTGATGGAGTGCCTAGTAATTTATCAGGAAGAAGATCAATTTCTTTCAAGATGTTTGCAAACCTCACAGGAAGTTCTTGTCGCAAAAATGCGAAAGAAGTTCTCTCACATCCATTAGTCGAGCCTATGAATAAATACAAAACACAGTTTTTGTTTAAGGAAGTTTCAAGATGCAAATACAGATTGACGAGTTCCCATAAGGTTCAGGACTCTATTCCTCTGCAATCATGAGGCTTTTACTGGCCTGCTCACCTAAGTGTTAGGTGTTATATGTTTATGCAGAACGCTGTTTACATGACAGTAAGACACAGCGTGTTCCTGGACGGAATACTTGTACAGTTCCCATTTAGGCATGAGACTTAATTGCAATTCCCTAAGAAGCACTCCAGTCTCTGTAAACAGGAGGTTGTTCGGGGTGACGTCTGGCGGTATCATGCGCGCACAGCCGCCAGAGCTGCCAAAGCGATAATGGGATCTGGGAACAGCGCGTTCGCTCCGCCTGATGGCTCCTCCCGCCACCGTGTGAGCAGCCCGTGTCCCTCTCAGTGCCCGCTCCCTACGAACGCCGCCGAAGCCGCGCTGTAGCGCATCTTCAGCTCTGGCGGCGGCACTCGCAGGTGCCCAGCCCCCGGCACCTCCCGGCGGGTAACTGCGGACGGGGCTGCCCACCCGAAACCACCACCCCGTCCGGCAGACTCCCAGCGGGGTGGGAACACCCAGCGGGCTCGCTGCCCTCCTCCGCCCCGGCGCTGGGCAGCCGAGCCGGGGGGCGGCTGCGACTTCAGCCCCGGCTGGGCGCGGATCCCTCCGGCGGGGATCGCCGCCTCCGCCGTCCCGCGGAGCGCCGCTCCCGCACCTCCCCCGCGGCAGCCCCGGGCTGTTCCTCCACGGGGAAACGAGCCTCCGAGCCCCGCGCCTGAGCTGCCCCCGCCCCGACCTCCTCTCGCTCCTCCCGACTCTCACCGAAGTCCAGCAACTGCTTGATGGAGAGCGGGGAGGGGGAGAAGCGGGAAAACTGCTCCACCTCCTTCGGCAACCGGCCGGTGCTGCTGCCGGCACTGGCCCCTGCCAGCGGCGCGGCGCTGCGGAGGGCGATGCGGGCGGCCTTCATCGCTGCCGGGGCGGCGGGCGCTCGGCGGGTAAGCGATCGCTGCGGGAGCCGGTGATCCGCGGGGGTGCCACCGTCCCCTCGCCTGTGGCGGCGGCCTCACGTGGCGCCTCTATTTACAATCGCGGGGGGGCGGGGCTCCGGCAGGCCGCGCCCCGGCCCCTCGTGACGGCGCTGGCGGCGCTCCCGTGCCCGGCCCGGCCCCGCGGGCGGCTCGCCAGCGGCGCGGGGAGCGCCGGGGGTGCCGGGGGGCGGCGGGGCCGGAGCACACGGAGCGGCGGGTGCCGCCCGCGGTGACCTTGCGCGCCGGGCAGGCCGGGCGAGGCTGGCAGGGCGGCCGTGCCCAGCTGCGGGCTCTGCACCGCACCCGGTGCGCGCCAGGGCTCGGGGCGAGCCGTGCACGGCGCCCTGAGCGGCGCGATGGTGCCGGGCAGTTGTGTGTTTGCGCTCATACAGGGGTGCCGGCAGTGCTGGCACTGACACGGTAACTCCAGGGTCGGCGCAGAGGCTGGCCGACTGCACGGAAGGCAAAGGGAGCAAAACCAGATCCCAGCCGCAGGCTGTCGACATGGAGGTCATGGCTGTGACCTGGTTAATAGTGACCAAATACCCGAGGACAGCTGTGCTGGTGACGCAGGGGCCCCAGATGAGCATGTGGCCTTTATTTACTGTCACTAGAGCTGACCTAAGAAGGGGCTGACACAGTGTCTCGGGGACAGCTCATCTCCCAGGGTCACAGTCCAGCTGAGAAAAGCCCCCTCACCTTTACTCTGCTGCGGAAGGAGCTTGCATCTCCAATGCTGCCTGGCCTTTTCCCAAAACGCCCAGTCCCCTTCACTGAGGTTTGCATAAGGCGTTGAAGAATGAAATTAATGTCAGCGGAGGCCTTTCTGACATCCAAAAACTTAGTCTGCAACAGCAGGAGAATGTGGCAGTAAAATCATTGTGCCCTAATATTTGCATAGAACTCTCCAGTCCAATTTTATATGCATATATTTACACACACAAACATGTAAACTCTTTTTCAAGGGAAGGAGGATCAAATTCCTCACAAGAAAGCTGTGCACTTAATTTAATAGACAGAGAAATATACTTTAGCTTCTCATTAGACTGTTTTTTTGACTTTGTCTCATTTTGTCTTCCTAGCATATCTGTTATCCCTAGTTATGTTTCTACTCCCACTGTACTGTATGTTTTATTGTTTTATTGCTCCCTGTTTTATTATTTTATTGGGAGAGTTATTCTGTTATTTTTCCATGAGATATATTCTGGTTTACCGAAGTGATTGAATGTTGGTATATGAAATGTGAAATGAAGCAAAATTTAGACAAATAGCAGCAAATGTAATGACTTTGATTTTTCCTGTCCTTGCCAGAAGTTAAAAATTCAAGAATTTGGTGTTTGCTTTTGGCTGTTCAACTTGGTTTTCCTGCAAGTTGCAGATGCGTCACAGAAGTGAAAATATCGTACAGATTTGTTTAAACCATGAAACGTGTAGGATAGCTTTTGTTTAGTAATACTTTCTTCTTGAAGCCACTAATTGGTGACAAGAAGGAACCTCAAAATTAACTCTTTGCAAAAAAATCTGGGTCAGGAAGTTCTCTGCAGTAGGCAGTTATTGCAGTTTATAAGGTCACTATTTCTATTCCTATGAGATTATTTAATCTGTTGGTGTGCTGAGCCTGCTTAATATAAGTAATTCAAATACGCTTTGTGAGCAGTCTGAATAGGGAAATACACTAAGAACAATTTCTGTTGTTTGCATTAATTTTCTTTACAGCAACTTGTTTTCTTATTGTTTTCCTAGTAGTTATATGCAATAAAGTATGAACAAATATCTTACATATTCAGTTTAGCTGTGAACAAAGGTAAAATTATAGTTGCAGGAAATACAGGGAGCGTGTTGCCTTCCCCATTTGTTAAAAGGACAAGGCTCCAGTAACTTAAAACTTGGGTGTTTTTCAAATCAAAACAAACTTCTACAAGAATTTTAGAAATCAGCAGCACAACAACTGAGGTTTTTTTTTTACTCAGATGAGCTTCTAAAAGAAGCATGTCTCCTTCATAATTCAGATTTGCTTCTTGCTCTTCGTATGATGGTTATTTGTTACAGGAGGTTCTGAACAAATTTAATTTCCATTCTTGAATATATAAACTATATATCTGTGAAGTTATTGTTATGGATGTCCTGAATGTTGAGCAAGACAGCTAAGTTTTGGGTATAAATGTAGCAATATATGAGGATTTATCATCAGTCAAGATGCAGGTGAACAAGGCTGTGAAAATGGTAACCACATCATATAATGCCTCCATCTATCATATCTTTAGCAGTGTTCTCACTTTATTTCCTCTCCAACCATTTCACCCTCCTTCTGAAACATGTGACAGTTTTAAGTGCAGGTGTCAGAGAACAATGGCTATGAAGGACAGTGCCAAATTCTGAACTGCAGTATACATCAGAAGGGGTCTTATTTCTGCTGATTAGCTATTTTAACTTTCCTCTTCTTAACTACCCTGGGGCAAGTTTTGAAAAGGCACTTGCAGTTGCTTGGTCACAGTAATGTTTTGCTGACTATGCTTAAGAAAATGGAGCTGCATTAACATTCTGCTTTTTTCCACAACAGATGGGTCCAGAAGAGTGGAATGAATGAAGCCTGGACTCCTGTCCATTTGTCTCCTAATAGCTCTCCATTGCAATCATCTGTTTCTTGCCTCATGTTTCTTATGTCCTCAACCCTGCCAGAGACAAAACGTGCTGTACTGAGGTCAGAGCCGTGTTCCTGGTCAGCCAGCATGTGTAAAGCTGACCTTGTTGCTGATGTCTAATAGAAAGTATCATGGTTGCTTTTGCCCTTCCTTTTTCTCAGTAAGGACAGACAAAAAATGTAAGGCTCTTTTTCCTAGCCCAACAAGTGCTGGAGACCCAATAGGATGTGCCAGGATGAGTGCCCTCTCCTGACCAGCCAGAATATGTGGGATGACTACTGGTGTGGTTGCTACTCTCTAGTAGAATGAGTCTGGGTGAGTTTCCCCTCCCTTTTATCCAGTGTGGTGCAAAATTCTAATCTTTCCTCCCTAAACCACCTGCTAGTTTGTACAGAGCTTGCAGGGAGTTGATTGTCTATTAAAATTTGGTTAAAATGCTTAGGAGGGACGGTTTGGCAAACAGGTGGACAGGCAACATCATTTTTTCTTATATGGAACCAGACTAATATTTTCTGCTAGGGACAAAGGCAACTTCTAAGTCAGCTTCTGTAAGGAAGGGTAAATAATAACCCAGGAGGAGCAGTAAGTCTGGATGGAAATTAATGGTAGCACTAGGAAGTTTTGGATGTAAGCAGAGCAGTCTGGTGACAAGTGTGTGAGTCATATTCACAGCAATACCAAGGGCAAAACGCTCGCCCTCCGCCTGCAGATGGGTTAGCATTTATGGAATTGGATTGATACTTTAACCTACTAATACATTTGTTTTTTAAATATTTATGTGGCCCTTTACATGGAAAAAAAGACAAAAATAGCATTACAAACAAGCGTCATATCTTCCCGTTCTCATCTTTCTGTCACCCAACGCTGTGGCTGCACAAGCTGTCAAGCTGCTGGGGGCTCCCAGTACAGCCAAAACAGCCAAAGTAGGTGAAAGGTTGTGGAGGAGCACACAAACAAGCTGGCATGCCTCCTCAGTAGTTCAGTGAGGGAAAGGTTCTGCAGCTGCTCCAGCACTTACACAATCTCCTGTGGCTGCTCATAACTTGCAAAAGTCAAGAGTACAGTAGCTGGATCGTTTTACAGATGGAGCTGTGGCTGGTCAGCAGCCTGCTTTGAGCTGTAAACATGGCAACTCAGCAGCCTTGAACAGGAGACACTCTTTTTCCTCATTCCCTGCCTTTGTTACCCATGTCTGAAATTATCTGTTACCTCCTTTAAAATCAACCACTGGATTGCTGGTTTCAAAATTGCTTTTCCAAAAAATAGCTAAAGGCTTGCACGAGATTAACTGTGGGTGTTTAAACAAGGAGTGTAGAGATAGCCGAGGGAAAAAACCTGTTTTGGAGTATAGCTGTACCAAATAGGTAGGAAATAAAGCTAGGACTCAAACTGTGATAAAAGTAGGACTCAAAAGTGTTTATCTTGAAATGCTTGTCACAATTCAGAAGGCTGCTTACTAAATAGGGGAGTAGTAATCTTCAGCCAAGTACACCATTGCAGAGGAAATAAAGGTAGGCTTTCAGAATGGGCTGGCACTGATCTAAAGTACATAGCTAGACACAAAATAATGTCCTTTTCCAGCCTTAGCTGACTACTATAGCAGTTCTTGTGGAAGAGCATATGACATCCTCCATGAGAGCTGCAGATGCAGAGGAAAATAAAGAGGAAAAGTGTCATCAGGACAGTTGCCACTTTGGGCTACGGCTGCCTTTACTGTGAACAGTTCTGCTCTGGAGAAAATCACCTGGGGAAAAGTGGACACCTTGTGAAAAGTCAGGGAAAAAGTTAATGCTACCAAAATACATATTTTAAGGTCTAAATATGTTTCATCTGAACAGTTATATTTTTCTGTAAGAATATGGAAATGGGGTTAGTGGAACAGGACATTTAAAATTGAAAGCTTTGGATTAGACATTTTAGGAGACACCTCACCGTGGTATCTCCTAAAGTAGTTCTAGCTTCACCTGTATCACGAAGGAGTTCTAGCTTCACCTGTAACCCTTACATGGGTCAGGGACTTTGAACTGGTAAACATGGTGGGTTTGTTTTTTTTTTTTTTCAGAGTAGATCACTCTGGGTGAAGAGGAGATCTTTTTACTAAGTTTTCTATCAGATGCACTTGATGCTGTTGACTGTAGCAAGACAATTGGTAAAGTGGATGTGGTGGCTTGAGTTTCGGCTCTGAACTGGAGCCTGGAACTGTTTCTCCAGGTTATGTCGTCTGAGGCTGATCTTAGAAAGCATTCCCAGTTGTTCTCTCTCAGCACTTCCTTCATCAGTTTTGAAAGAATTTCTTT